TTGTAACACACCATTCATCTTTGTCATGACGCACAAGCCCGGTCGACCGATCCTTGGCTGTACTCTCGCCGGAGACGCCTTGTTTCTTGATCCTAGCAACTGGAGGCAGTTGTTGCGGCTTCTCCGGTAGCAAAAAGTGTGTCTGTGACAGTTGAGCGCTTAAATTCATTAATCCAGGGCCCAACACTGGGACGGAAGGGACGAGAAAGCCGGTCTCGGACTGCTGTAGCATCGAGGCAACATTGAAACTGGCGGTGGAGGCCAGGGAAGACGTGGTTGGCATAGCCGTAAGTGTCGCAGTCTCGCCCTCCATTTCCGTGACGGCCGGCATGCCGGTGACTGTGGGCGTCTGTGTTGGCGCCGTCGGCACCTTCTGATCCAGCACAGATCGCAGTTGGTCGACATCGCGTTCTCGTTCGCGAAGTACAGTCTTGACTCGAGCCAACTCGGCCTCGAGCCAGGCATTCTGCTGTTTCTGATTGGCCAACTCATGACGCAGACTTGCCAACAGACTGGCCAGGTCAACCGGTTGGTAGGGGCAGGCGTCGGAGCCAAGGCTTTGAGTTGCCGAGGCCCCGGTGGACAAAGGTCCCGGACCGGGGCTGGCCTCAACCGGCTTGCAGGCCGAGGTGCCGTTCTCCGTCGGCGACATGGGATGGTCGGCGGGTACATTTTCCGACAGAGCCGGCTCCATCGTGACCGACGAGGCGCAGTCACAGAGGCCACTCATGGTTTCCCGCGAGACCGGTTTACGCCGATGACCCCTCAGCGAGACGGTCTCGAGCTCGGCCTGCTCGAGTCGACCGGTGTTGGTTGACAGTGCGTCCCTTTCGCGTCGGCTCCGTTTGACGGAAGAGGGCGGAGACGGGCTACTACAACCGGAGGATGTCGACGTCGGGTTGCCGGGCGTCCGAGAGGAAGATGGAAGTCGAGGGGGTGGGGGCAGAGGGCGCCGAGCACGAGCTGTCGAGCCGTCGGCTCGTCGGTTGCGATCGTGGGTCTGCGAGAGACTGCGACTGACGGGCGAGCCGGAGGAGGAGTCGAAAGAGCCGGAGGGCCGGAGCCAGGGCGTGCGAGTCGACGAAGCCGGAGTCGAGTGGCGGCGTTGCCGACGGCGACGGCGACGCCACGAGAGGCTGGCCGAGAAGTGAGCGCGCCGGCTGGCGATGGGCAGAGGCTGGGGCGCGAAAGACAACAGGAACGGGCAGGAGGCCGGCGGCTCCTGGCCGGACGAGGATGTGTTGGGCGGGCTCTGGGAGGAGGCGAAATACGAGCCGGTGGAGACGTTGCCACGAGGGCTGGCGGGCTGATTTGATATGTACGAAAAGGGGCTGCAGCGAGAAAAGTCAGAGGAGGCCCTTTCAAAGGCCGGAAGACTGTCGACCGTCGAGGTGGAGTAAAGGGAGGAGCACACCTCTGGCACGGTCACGTGGCCGGCGAGGCAAACGAACAAGTCCTGCGGCGGTGTCGTCGCCTTGGGAAGAGTTCGTGTCGACGCGGCCGGAAAGTCTGTCGCCTTCTCTACTGCCTGCCCTCCTGCTGGCAACTCGACCTCGCTACAGCTGGACTCTGTCACCACGGCGACCAATTGAGACGAGTCAGTTGGGCCGGAGCATGTCGAGTCGGCCGGGCCCACAGCCTCAGACGACTGGGCTACCGTTTGCTCGAGAATGGTGTCTAGACTTGCCGGTCGACAAGGGTTAATCTGAGGCGTCTGCGCCCGAGAACCTCACCGAAATTGGCATCTCCGGTCACCTGACTGTCTGGCGTCCAGTCGTCCAGTCGTCCAGTCGTCCACGAGTTGAAGTCGATGGGTGTGGCGAAGATGTTTGTCCAAACAAGTAACCGGCCTCTCGTCGGGAGGGCCAGTCGCCTTGGCAAAGCCAATAATCCAGCTGGTTGGTCTGCTCCCCGATGGAGTGAACGAGAGGAAAATGGAAGTCTGGTGTCCACAACTCAAACAGACAAATGGGCGGATGGACGGACAGAGCGAGAAGTGAGCCAAGCCGGAAAAGAGAGAATGGATAGTCACACAATGAAACGGGGGCAAAGAGGGTGAATCAGCCGTCGCGTCAAAAGGGGGACAGGAGGCATGTTGGATTGATTGTGCTGAAGCTGTGGCTGAGGCTGAGTCCGAGACATGGGCTCAAATGGCTCGAGGGTATGGGTTGGTGAGACCATACCTTCGGCCAGAGGAGGGGGTCGGCGAGGGGTGTCGTCGTGGCGACAAAAAGGGCGGCCAGAGGGACAGAGCGAGACACGAGGCGGCAGCACACACGTGGCGAGGCTTGACGTGCCTTGGCGGCGCGGCAAGACGGGCACCGCAACGGATGCAGGAGGCCCTGGTCACTGCCGGGTCAGTTGACACGACGACTCGTTGGCACGACCATGTCGCGGAGGAATGCGTAGAATGGAGACGCGATGACAACGCGACTGGCGAGGCCGAGCGGCACGAGGGAGAGACGCCGAGGCGGGCAACGGGGACGGCGGCCCGGTCGGACGGGCAGATTGCCAGGCGCTCCGCCGGCGCGACGATCAGCCCTGCAGCCGGACTCTGCCGGAAGACGACAGACACGCAGATGGACCGACGGATCAGATGATCACTTAACAACCATTTGATTGGCATACAGTGAAGGATGCCAATTGAAAACCGGTGTCACTGCGTCAGGCAGACATACACACACACACACACACACAAACACATTTGCGACACGGATAGTCAAGTGGGACTGACTGGACAGATTCA